ATTTAGCAATGATTTTGAACAAGTTGGCTTAGATCGTCGGGGCCATGTGTTGGGCATCTGGTATCGACTAACTGCGTCGGTTCAGTCCATGGTGAAGAGAAAAATCGATATTTTTAATAACGTGCGAAATACATTCGAAAAAGCGTAGGAATTTCAAGATATTTAAATAAGTTGTTAGAATGCTGTGAGGAAAATAATAATAACAGATCAAACAGCTGGTTTTTAGGCGGATTTTCCAAGTTATAAGAATAGATTAAATGAGATTGACTAATCCGTCCCGTGTTACTATACGGAGTCACAAGAGGAAGGTGTAGGGTTACTTGTAATTTCAGTTTAGTCTGAAAATTATCCATACAGTTGTAAATTTAGTCAATTAGGTAATTATAAGCATGATATAGTTAAGCCATTCCAACCCCCGATATTCAGGGATCCCGCCAATTAGATAAGAGCCGAAACTTCTGTGTCGAAGCGAGGTGTCGAATTCGGGAGAGATCTCCCAAAAATACAGTTTCTCCTTGGATTACACACTGGAAATTTTCTTCATTTTATAGTCTCGAGTTAATTTAATAATGAATAAAGTCTTTCCAAATTTTGCCATGAATTCGCGTTTGATTGCGTTATCGCGTGTAATTCATTCTCTGAATTTACAACATTTCTAAGTCCCCACGCATCAATTAAAGTGTAGAATTAATTATAAATTCTCTTTCGAGACGTTAATAGTAAACTCTTTGCAAGTAAATATGGTCATGATACTGGTCATAACGGTAGATAGATAAATGAAGAAATAATCCCTCAGGTTACAGAATTAATATTGTGGTATCAGCAGGATGGTGCACCACCACAGAGGGAGATAAGTAACTGCATGGTTAAATGATCATTTCCCGAGTAACTAGATAGGTCAACAAGGTCCAATAACAGGGCCACCGCGTTCCCCAGATCTAAATCCTTTGACCTTTTATTTATGGGGACATATGAAGCAGCTTGTCTACCATGTTGAAATCGCTATCAATCAGCAGTTACTTGAAATAATTCAGAATGCAGCTAACCAGATAGGAAATGATCCACACACAAATAATAATTCTTGTTATAGAAACCATTATTTTTATTTATCAGGCTACTTTGATTGAAATATGAAATTAAATTTTTTAAATCCTTGTAACTTCTAAACAAAAACAGATTGGACCTATGTTCATGTAAGAAAGAATGTTTAAAATTAACCCAGCTATCATCTGTCAAAGTCATAGAGCTTGTAGAACACCACGTGTAATAAGTACAGGAAAATGCTAATTCCTCACGAATTTGAAAAGTTGCAGCGCGAACCGTATAGACGAGCGAGAGTAGGCAAAACAGTGAATCCGAGCATGTATCATAAACCGACGATACTATTTTTTTTATAAATTATTTATTTTTAATTTGCCATTTGACATGTAAGTTGCGATATAAGAAATAACCGTAATCTAAAGTGAAATTGCTTTATCTAAAAATGATTACAGAATATTTTGTATACACGTATAACTAGTGCCCGGTATCTTAGAAACTTTAGGACGTACTTTATACAAACATTAAAATGTCAGAAACCCAACAACCGTAAAAACTCCTGGAAAAAAATCTTAATTGGAAGAGCAATAATTACATCTCCCGCCGCTCCAAAAATAATTTCCTTTCTTCCGTTTTTAGCATTGAAGGACGCCATCCGACCATCCTCTATTGAATTTTTTTCCGCCGAGTTCCTTTTTTGACACTGCATTACAACTTAATTATACCCGTCCCCTTGTACACGAAAATTGATGTTGTATGACGTTTTAACGGGCCATAAAAATCAACAGGGAAAGGTGACTCCGTCGACGCGTAGCCAATTCTCCTACCCATTGCTAAACAGACTAAAAAATAATTTTTCACCTTTTTTTCAAAGAAAAGTAAATAAATCATCTTTCACTAGATGGCGCCGATTGTATCTTACCGACTGCTAGCTTTTATAAAGTGGATTTTTATTAAGAAATCGTACGATATTCTCCTGCTTTCCTATAAAAAAGTTAAGGATAATTCAATTTATTTAGGCATCTAGGGATTTGTCCAGCTTTCGTGCAAATTGTTCTAGACTGGAACATGAAAAGTTTGCCAATCGCCGATAAAACAAATACACACAGTGCTTATAAATTCTCTTTTATATAAAAGCATTACGTTGATAGGTGGCTTATCTGAATGTAGTTTCTTAGACACAAAGGATAATTCGATTAATCTGTTATTACTTTATTTAATGACGTAAGGTAATAGTACAGCATTTTAGCTTTACTTGGAACCAAATCTGGCAGGTTCTACCTTTTACAAGTGGATTTCAACTAAAAGATACAGGTGCGTGTTTCTAAAACCGAGATATTAAAGCTGCTATCTTGTCCTTCATTCTTGAGTTACTCGCCCGTGTTCTTCAGGAAAGTGAAAAACGAATAGGAAGCTTTCATAATCTGGAATGTACAAAATAATTCATTACTATCTGATATAAGAAAGAAAATCATTAGGTATGTAGATTGAATCGTTTAATTAACGTTATTGCAACGATGTTTAAAAAATTTGTCGCATTTTTAGATCTAGTAAAAGTGATTTTTTTTGTAAGAACATCTAAAATAAAATAAAAAAAAACGTTTTTTGACATTTCATCTAACTCCGTTTGATTCACCCAAGGAAGCTACTATTAAGGTATGATTAGTTGCTTTCAGATGCCCTGTATACAAGTGTCCCTGGAGGATGAGTTCATCTTGGAAAGAATAGTGGGAGTAGTTCAAATAATGCCTCAAGATATTAGGAATAACTTGTAAACCATTTTATTCTTAATAGCAGTAGCGCGGTTAAGTTTGAGGGTTATATTTCAAGAAAAAATTGTTAAAAATCAAAATTTCTTTAATGTGGCTTTGCAAGCCCTAAAGGATTGGGGAATAAAATGCACGTTTTTCTTATAACATAATTTATATTCATTCGTGTACAAAATCTGACATTTTTACCACTAACAGATTTAAAAATAATTAAAAAAACTTTCCGAAACAATAATTTTATCACCCTTTATATGGAAAACGTAATTTGAACCATTCCTACTACTTCTTCAAGAGAAACTCACTACTTTCTAACTTTTTTAAATATAAGTGGGACATCGTGTATAGAAGGTCCTTCTGCCCTTTATCTGATTCACTATTTTCATCTTAAAATTAAACCCTAAAAAAGTTTTCAGTTTGCGTGAAAGAAACAAACAAGGACAGCAAAAATTAACGCCGAAAGTACTTTTATGTTTCGATATTCCTTCAATTTTTTTCATTTATAATCCAAACACGCGTTCTCTTAACGTAGCGGATTAAATATGTGAATAATGCTCCCACTCTTAAATAACTCAGACTCTTGCCATAAAAATAACATATGGGCTTTTATAACTAGCAATCTCTCTGCCCTTACCTAGCTTTAAATCTCACTGATATTAAATATTTTATGTTTCTATGCAGATCACTGTTACTCTAAGTTTGTTCAACGTGACTTTCGGCGTAAAAGGCCTGATTTTACTTTTACCAAACGTTTCTTGTTTGCTAATGTTTGATTTGAGTCGATATTCTCATTTCCATCGTACATTTTTTTTTCATAACCCGTAATAGCGACAATACGACTGAACAAAGTATAACATAATGGAATGTCAACACTGAAGGGACGTATTCATTATGAAAATTTGAAACATTCTGTTTGGCGTTTACAATTTTTAAATAAAAAGGAAAATATTTTCTAAACTAATGAAGATATTACTACTGCTACTGTGATAACATAAATGTAATGTGCTGTTCGTTTCGCACAGTGTTCCAATATGTTCGGCCTGAATGCACTTGGAATCGACCAATTTTGATAATCGAGTTATCGGTAATCGAGTACTTCTAATAATCGAGTGATCACTCGAGATACGAGATATTGGTCGTTTTCATCCCAGCGGCGCACAAATATGTTTGTATTAGTCATATATTACTTATAAGCGTAGCTAAAAAAAAAAAAGCTCACGCACTTCAAAACCTAACCACTTTTTCGTTTTATTCTAAAAAAAATGGTTACGCAATCAGTGACTAATTGCTGTAAGCACTAACATTTTGGGGTGCAACCGTAGGGTAATAATCACTCGAGTGGTGGGAGTAAACATCTCGAGATATCTCGAGTGATCTCAATAATCGAGTACCACTCGATTTTTCACTCGAAATCTCCCATCACTACTTGGAATACTATTGTAACAAGCGCGCATTTCTATTCCTGCTTATCGTACAAAAAAAAAAAGAGAGAGACTACTCATGCATGATTTGACTTCTTGAAATTCCTTCATGTGTCAGTTTCCAGCTCAGGCGTGTCAGTGTGTGTCATAAGCGTACAAGTGAGAAAAACGTGTTATTATTTTCACACTATAGTTATTCCAATAGACGTTGTTAAAAACGAAATCTTCTGTGGGTGTTAGTGGCTAACTGATAATCAAGATAGTCATCAACGACAGAACAGATCGAGAAGGTTATATGATACACAATTTGTGCGTTAGGAAATTTGATGCAATCGCAGCAGAAGAATAATTACATATCGGCCTTTTTTTCAAAGAAAAGTAAATAAATCATCTTTCACTAGATGGCGCCGATTGTATCTTACCGACTGCTAGCTTTTATAAAGTGGATTTTTATTAAGAAATCGTACGATATTCTCCTGCTTTCCTATAAAAAAGTTAAGGATAATTCAATTTATTTAGGCATCTAGGGATTTGTCCAGCTTTCGTGCAAATTGTTCTAGAATGGAACATGAAAAGTTTGCCAATCGCCGATAAAACAAATACACACAGTGCTTATAAATTCTCTTTTATATAAAAGCATTACGTTGATAGGTGGCTTATCTGAATGTAGTTTCTTAGACACAAAGGATAATTCGATTAATCTGTTATTACTTTATTTAATGACGTAAGGTAATAGTACAGCATTTTAGCTTTACTTGGAACCAAATCTGGCAGGTTCTACCTTTTACAAGTGGATTTCAACTAAAAGATACAGGTGCGTGTTTCTAAAACCGAGATATTAAAGCTGCTATCTTGTCCTTCATTCTTGAGTTACTCGCCCGTGTTCTTCAGGAAAGTGAAAAACGAATAGGAAGCTTTCATAATCTGGAATGTACAAAATAATTCATTACTATCTGATATAAGAAAGAAAATCATTAGGTATGTAGATTGAATCGTTTAATTAACGTTATTGCAACGATGTTTAAAAAATTTGTCGCATTTTTAGATCTAGTAAAAGTGATTTTTTTTGTAAGAACATCTAAAATAAAATAAAAAAAACGTTTTTTGACATTTCATCTAACTCCGTTTGATTCACCCAAGGAAGCTACTATTAAGGTATGATTAGTTGCTTTCAGATGCCCTGTATACAAGTGTCCCTGGAGGATGAGTTCATCTTGGAAAGAATAGTGGGAGTAGTTCAAATAATGCCTCAAGATCTTAGGAATAACTTGTAAACCATTTTATTCTTAATAGCAGTAGCGCGGTTAAGTTTGAGGGTTATATTTCAAGAAAAAATTGTTAAAAATCAAAATTTCTTTAATATGGCTTTGCAAGCCCTAAAGGATTGGGGAATAAAATGCACGTTTTTCTTATAACATAATTTATATTCATTCGTGTATAAAATCTGACATTTTTACCACTAACGGATTTAAAAATAATTAAAAAAACTTTCCGAAACAATAATTTTATCACCCTTTATATGGAAAACGTAATTTGAACCATTCCTACTATTTCTTCAAGAGAAACTCACTACTTTCTAACTTTTTTAAATATAAGTGGGACATCGTGTATAGAAGGTCCTTCTGCCCTTTATCTGATTCACTATTTTCATCTTAAAATTAAACCCTAAAAAAGTTTTCAGTTTGCGTGAAAGAAACAAACAAGGACAGCAAAAATTAACGCCGAAAGTACTTTTATGTTTCGATATTCCTTCAATTTTTTTCATTTATAATCCAAACACGCGTTCTCTTAACGTAGCGGATTAAATATGTGAATAATGCTCCCACTCTTAAATAACTCAGACTCTTGCCATAAAAATAACATATGGGCTTTTATAACTAGCAATCTCTCTGCCCTGACCTAGCTTTAAATCTCACTGATATTAAATATTTTATGTTTCTATGCAGATCACTGTTACTCTAAGTTTGTTCAACGTGACTTTCGGCGTAAAAGGCCTGATTTTACTTTTACCAAACGTTTCTTGTTTGCTAATGTTTGATTTGAGTCGATATTCTCATTTCCATCGTACATTTTTTTTTCATAACCCGTAATAGCGACAATACGACTGAACAAAGTATAACATAATGGAATGTCAACACTGAAGGGACGTATTCATTATGAAAATTTNTTTTGAAGTAAAATTAAATCGATTTTCGCATTTCTCGTCAAAAATATTGTTCGTATTTTCAAAGCTGCATATTTTTTAAAATAATTAATCGATTTTCAAAAAGTAACAATCGATGTATAGAGAATTAAAAGGCCTTTCTAATGATCCCCCACTTGACCCTCATTCCTATTTCAAAAAATTTAGGGGATAGCACCCCCACTTAGGGGGTTGAAGATTTTGGTATGCTTTTTGAGCCAAAGAAACAAATTTGACCTGTTTTTGGATTTTGCCGAAAAGTTCTTTACTACCCTGTAATGCCTTGCGGTACGTTTTCGATGGGCTACCCTGTATAATAGTGTTATTGATTAATATTTTATTCGTATAGTATGTGATGAAATATAAACATATTTCAACATACTTTTAATTCATGCTGAAGTAAAACGTTACTATCTATTTTGCAGTATTGTATTGCATATCGAACTTACGACACTTGGTATTCTCACAATACACCACATTTCTTCCATTCCAGAGAGAGTATTGCTAAAGTACCGAGTTGAATATACATTATTCTGAGCGATAAGTAAATGATAAATGCTTTCCTTCACATTGTTTGTTTCACTTCCAGTTAAAAACCCTTATCTACGCACGTACATGCGTATTTTGGTGTATCATTAGTCATCTCATGGTGTTAGAGTGTTCTCTACTTATATTCATGTTTACTGTGCTGCGTTTACCCCAATATTATAACCCTAGTTTTTGCCGTCTGCAAGTTGGCGTCTCGCCAGCCCATTTTGAGGGCCCAACTCATTAACAAAACGTTTTTGTCCCAAGTGTCACAAGTTTTATTCAGAAATAAAGAGACAGGGCAGTCTGGAGAGTATGATGCTCGTAGTTTGGAGTGATATACTCAAAATGTCCAACGGAGTCATTTTTTATTTGCTAGTTGGTCATAACCAATATAAAACCAATTGAATATACAGGGTGTCTCATAATTAGCTGCCAACCCTGAACAGGCCGATTCTATGATAAAAACCAAGTAAAAAAGTTCATATGAACATGGGTCCGGAAATGCTTCCTAAGGGCACAGGGACCCATTGAAGAGGGAGGAATGGAAATCATTTTTCTGCAATATCTCTCAATCGCGTTGCGATAAATGAATGAAATTTGGTATACACAGCTAAATTTTGATGAGCAATTTGATGGACTAATCCATTTATTTCCACAAGGTCCATTGGGGTGGGTACGGGGGGGCCCTTGGTACTTTGCGTGTGTAACTTTTTCATCTTTGACTTTTTAACAAATTGGACAGCAAATTCCGTTTTCCCGAACTGTTTTACGTTAAAAAGGTACTCTTGTTTCAAATCGTTATCTTTAACGGTTTCTGAGAAAATCGCTCTTGAATTAATCCCACTTTGGTCAATTTCATAGTAATTTAAACAAAAAATAATAATAATAATTTAATACGTAATCAGTAATACACATTATTGATGTAGAACAATTATGATATGATGATTTGTTTATGGCTTTTGCGATGGTAATGCTGCGCGGCAGAACGCGAGTACGGCAGAAGGTTTCCAAACAGAAGGCTGACATCAAGGAGGACATTCCTCACTGTATTCCGCAATTTAGCTGCAACCGTCACTTTTCGAAGGGATCATAAGATGGAAACTTAATTTTGATAACAGACAACAAGCTATTTTAAAAACTGTTCAAAAAACCCTCCACCTTCTCTGATACAAAGTCTTGCCCTACGTGTAACACTTCTCGAAGCTATTAAGATGCTAAAACGGTTTTGACGAATTTCATTGGCTGCATCATTGATACGCTGCAGCAATTCCTCACGGGTATCGACTTCGGTGGCGTAAACTTTTTGATTTAGATATCCCCAGAAAAAGAAGTCCAGCGGGGTTAGGTCGGGAGAACGCGGCGGCCAAGCTACCGGTCCGTGCCTCCCTATCCACCGTCCAGCGAAATTTTCGTTTAGGAAATTTAGAACATTGCGACCACTATGTGCCGGGGCTCCATCGTGTTGAAAAAACATGTTACGTCGTAAATTTAGAGGCAGATCATCGAGAATTTGGGGAAGATTTTCTTGAAGTAAGTTTAAATAAAGATTTGAATTGAGACGTTGTGGAATTTCAATAGGTCCAATCAGAGTGTCGTGAATTATTCCCGCCCATAAATTTATGGAAAACCGTTGCTGGAAGTTTGTTCTCCGAACAACATGTGGGTTCTCTTCTTCCCAATAATGAGAATTATGAAAATTTAATTTTCCATTTCGGGTAAAAGTAGCTTCGTCACACCACAAAATTTTGGAAGCTTGCTCGTTGTCCAGCGACAAAATCCAGCGACAAAATTGCATACGTGGCGCAAAATCTTCTGGTATCAAGCCATGTACACGTCGATAGTGATAGGCATGTAGACCTTGTCGCTTTAATATTCTTCCAACCTGAAATGTTAGTAGCACATCTAATCAATTCTGTTAAGGAAATCTTTAAGATATGTAGTACCGTTGGCCGAGGAACATTTATTTGCCTTGAAATGTTCCGTATGCTAGTCGTAGGATCTTGTTCAATAGCGTCAAGGACCTCCGCTTCCCTATTAATCCTGGGACGTCCTTGACCCGGTGCCTTTCGAAAAGTGGCGGTTGCAGCTAAGTTGCGGAATACCGTAGGGAATGTCCTCCTTGATGGCAGCCTTCGGTTTGGAAACCTTCTCCCGTACTCGCGTTCTGCCGCTGCAGCATTACCATCGCAAAAGCCATAAATAAATATCATATCAACTAACTCTTGTCCCGTAAACTCTTCCATTTTTTTCGCTTAGAACTATTAAATTGGCAATCGGGTTGACAATACTTTGACATAAGAATACCTTGATAATTTTGTTTAAATTACTATGAAATTGACCAAAGTGGGATTAATTCAAGAGCGATTTTCTCAGAAACCGTTAAAGATAACGATTTGAAACAAGAGTACCTTTTTAACGTAAAACAGTTCGGGAAAACGGAATTTGCTGTCCAATTTGTTAAAAAGTCAAAGATGAAAAAAAAGTTACACACGCAAAGTACCATTAAAAAATATACAGGGTGTTTCAGAAAGACCTCCCGTAAATACAAAATAATGTACTAAAAGGATTCAGAGTTATTTAAGGTGAAGAAGCACAAAGCTACCAGATAATATTAACGCAAATATTATATTATATTTCGGCCAAGTATATGCATGAATCTTGGTCCAAAGTTGCTTCATTCGCGAATTACATGGAATTTAAATAAAAAATTACTTTTGTCTGCAATTACGAAACCAGTGAATCGATTATCTTCAAATTTGGTATGGGAATTATTATTAAGATTCACCTGTATATATTTCCAGCTTCTACCCCCAGAATTACAAAATACTTGAAAACCGCTGAAAAAGCTATAGCCACCCCAACTGTACACCATTATTAATATATGAATAACACTTTACCAAGTTGTTACAAATTCACCCCATATCCTAAGAAAACTTAGTATTCACTCTAGGTTCATTTATAGCGCGCTTAGACATAGTCAGAGACTTATAAAAAAGCCAAAATATAGAAGTTTGCCATTTTTCTCCCCCTTCCATAATCATGGAATGCCTGACTACTTCTCATCGACGCAGCAAGATCCAACCTACACAACAACACCAACATGTCTCCGATCGGACCAACTCTACGCCCAGAAGTCGCGAGAGAATTTTTATTACACTGATGGATTCTACATATTTTTCTAACATCTACCGATAACACTACCGATTCCTTAAACGTTTTCAGTGTTGAAAATGTTACCACAGCATTGGATAAAAAGGCATTTCAGTTCATCTAGGAATGATTTTAATTCTCATCTTTGCTATTATCCAACAGTTGGATGTCATTCCAAATCCAATATGACTCCCAAAGATGGCGGACCAGTTATTTTTTATGCACCCCCATAATATGGGTATCAAATGAAAGGGTTTGCTGACAAGAATACGAAAATAAAATGACGTCACTAAAAGCTTGTTTAAAAAAAATAATTTATACATGAACTTATTGACTTTTGCGTCACTTAATAGTGGAAAAACTTTTTTATGTACTTAAAGGCATCATAATATTTTCTTGTGAATAACTTTTTGTGGTTCGACAAGGGGTTATAATAGAAATGCCAAAATACGTTCTTTTAATTTTTTTTAGTTTTAACTGAAATGTCCATGAAACTGGAACGTTTCTGATAAATTCCCTAAACTAGGCAGAAGTAAATTGTCAATTTGCAAACGTTGTATTTGTGGATCTCCATAAGAATATTGATAATTTGCAATACATATACTTAAAAATAAGACATAGTCATCTTTTTGTAAATAGATATTAAAATAACTACCAAAATATAAAATAGTAATTTTGGACAGTTGCGTAACATTTTTTACTTTGAACTAGGATTATCTTGTGATATGGTGTTTATGTGGTAAAAGAGTTGTACTGAGAATAAGTTTAAATACACAGTTACAAGAATATTTTGTCTCGACTTGTAACTCGCATGAAACAACCTTGGACCAAATCGTATTTGGTCCAATTTTAATATTTTGACTTCAAGACTATCTGATAGAAATTGTACGCTTTTTTTACTGCAGAAAATGATAAGCCATTGATATACAGAATGTCTTGAAATTGATCAAAACAATAAACTGAAAATTTTTTTACTCACTGAAACGAACGTTGTCAAAGTCAACGAAGCAAAATTTCCAGCAGTTAAAGAGACAGGTTTGCTTAATCTAGCCATTGTTATTATCATACTTTTCTTAAATTTCTTGTCTGCCGCTAACCAGTCGCATTGCCATAAGTAGTCAGGCATATATTTCGCCTAAAATTAGTGAATGACGTGTCAATAATTATTAAGAAAAGTAAATTTTGCGCAACTAGATCCAATGTTATCAAAACCAAAAGCTACCTGAAACGTCACTTCGTTCCCAAATAAACATAAGAAGAATGGTTGTATTCCCATGGCTACTAGGTATACAATTTCAGCATAAAATTGCTTGCTGTTAATTGGAACCTACAAAACAATAAAAGCATTGAGCGAAAACTTATACGTTGCTAGTTCACTAGGTTCGCTAAAATAAGCAATTTCAAATATATCTAACAACGTCACCGAACACTGACTATAATGAAGAGAGAACGAATTGAATTACTCTCCCCTATTGAACTATTTTGGTAAATAGTGGTATAGAAAGAAAAAGAAGATAGAACAAATCTCATTGTTTCAAAGTGTATACTTACCGTTGACACTAGATAAAGACAGGAGCATATTATCATCTGGATTGTAGACACTTGTGCCAATATTACGTACTTTTGAAGATGCTCTAAGTCCTTGCATGAGCTGAAAAATAGAATTATGTTTACAAGTTAAGGAAAAAACATTATTTTATCTACTATTGCGCCAAAAGTGACAATTTGTTTACATAATTCACATAATATTTTTAAAGAACCTGTGAGATAAGAGTTTGTGTCGAACAGTGCAATTTTATAGGTGCTTTACAGTGACTAAAATCAAATTTCATTCTCTAGTGATTAAATTCTTTTAGTCACTAGTGAAATAAAAATTTAAATAAAAAAATTTAAAGTTCAATCAGAGTCGCCTTTGACTAAAGCTGACATAAACTTTCCCTTTCACATCAACATTCTATAAATTTGTGACAAACAACATTACTAATACAAATTCCATTTTATTTTTCAATTATCAAACATAAAAACAATTTATTTCTATTTGTTCTAATCCAGGACGTCACTAATACCCTCCAGAGCATTTTTATCTCGCCAAATGGAACGTCCGAAGCGAGTTCCGAAATAATCGTACGTTAGAATTAAAATCGGATGGTAAATCTTACTTAAGGACTGTTTGCAGATTTCTGCAGATGCTCCTCATCTCGCCATTCATAGCGGCGTTCAGACAAGCGGAATTATACAGCCCGTCGGCGGCCCACTCGGGTCCTTTAATCCTTTTTAAGGACCTCTCTCTGATTGTTAAGAAAGCGCCCTGGATTATGGCCAGATTTCCGGCAATGCACAGCATCAGACCGTAACACAACGCGTCCATCCCAGAAATGCTAAAAAGAAAGTAATTTGTTTTATGCGGAAATATAAGGTGGGAAATATGGGTGTGGGTTGTAAAAATATATACATTTTAAATAAAATAAGAAATATAATTTCAGAATATTTTTAAATAAAGTGAAGTGAATATTATTCATATAAAAATGGGTATTGAGTCCTTAAATACGGTGATTTCTCAGTTAATTATAAAAATAAAAATAGTGTGCTTATAACACTATAGATAATACATTCTAGTAGTTCCTAAACAGTTTCTTTTCTGAACAGTCAATTAATAGATCAGATATTAAAGTTTAAGGAACTGTTATCTTTTTTTTTTAATTAACTTCCTGGAACCACCATTTAGACTGATAACCACATTGTAATTAATCATTTTTCTTTCCTCTTAAATTTTTAAGTAATTTTTTGGTTTATTTTTCAAGATCGAACTTATTTTGTAAATTGAAGTTTTATATTTAAATTGAAATCAATGTTATTTCGAGAAATAATTCACCTGTAACCGTACGAAAACATAGGGCCGGCTTGGTATCCAAGGGCGATGAGGTAAGAAGGTCCGGTATCGAACCCGAAAGGGACCCAGCTGTAGTAGGGCAATCTCTCTGGCAATTGTCTAGTGCCATTCCCTTCGAACATGACCAAGATAGCCGTTGCCGCCGGAGGAATATACGAGGCGAATAGGGTCAAGTGGGGCAACGCGAAACATATCAGGGTATATTTTTTCATCGCCGCCTTCGTCTTTCTTGATATTAAGCCCGGGAAGAAGTTACGCTCCTCGCAAGGTTCGTACCTAAAACATTTTTTATTTTTCAACATTAAACAGTATGCCATTACTTTTGGCTTTCTTATAATCATCACAGACAATACAGGGTAGGAAGGTACTGATGGTCTATCTGAAATTACGTGAGAGCGATAAAGTAAGCCATAGAAATCCATGCGATAGAGAAGAATGGCTATAATGAAGGCGTCTCATAGACACCGCCCGTTTCGCCCTTCCACAAATAAGATCCACTTCTTATTTGTGGAACGGCGAAATGGGCGTTGACTATTAGACGCCTTCATTATAGCCATCCTTCTCTATCGCATGGATTTCTATGGCTTACTTTATCGCTCTCACGTAACTTCTGATAGACCATCGGTACTTTCCTACGCTGTATAGCTTAGGGCGATAGCTATTTTGTCTGTGTAATCATCATCAGTTTGAACTTTACAACCAACATAAGTTCTTCTGCATCTCATTTTTCTATTTTAATTGCTATTTTATCCTGCAATCTTTGCATAATTTTAATTGATTTGCTTAATTTTCCTTATATTATGTTACAAAAGCAGCTCCATGGTATTTTAACATGTACCCCTACTTTATTACCGAAAAATATTTAATAATTTATCTGATATACAATTCAAACATTTTTTTATTATTTACTAACCTCAATTCCTGGCTCTCCAAAACCTTCATCAATTCAATAAGTTTATCCCCTTTCACGTAGAAGAAAACAGCCTTCACTGTACCCATTGCGTGAGTCAGGGCAAAGCTCAGATTTTTTATCAAATCGTCCTCATTACCGTAAGTGTACAGCAGACTTACCAACTCGGTAGCAGTAAAGTATACGTTAACAAACAAAAATATAAAAACGGCGTAAGCCCTGTACAAAGCTTGAACTGCCTTATTTTTTGTTGCAGGAGGCCAGAGCCCCGCGCAACGAAGAATCCAACGGACGTGGAAAAAATTGTCTTCGGCATAGCTGTCCATGAAATTACTTACGCCTTTGACTCTTTGTAGGAAATAAATTTTCATTTGATGTAATTTTGTTTGAAACCATGCTACTTTTCTGAAACGCAGAACTAATAATTTCATTTAGATCAAATCACCAGTTGGAAATTGCCCTGTTACGGGATCATTTAAATTTTGTTCTTTTTCTAATCTAATATTTATTTCACTTCATTTTACAGTACCGTATTAAAAAAATATAGTATAACGGCGGCTGATGAAAATTGAAGTAGTCATTTTTCTGTTTTTTACAAGACCATTTCTAAGCTGATAAAGAGAACTTCCCAAATGAAAAAAATCGAATAAAATTTGAGATCTCGATTTCAGAAATTAAAATAAGGGGCGATTGTTATTTCAAAAGGGTTGGACGTACATATTATAAGCAGAATATGTAGGCATATTTTTTTGATAATCAACTGACAGATAGAATTAGATGCATTTTTATTTTTCACAAATAGTGAAAAATTGCCGGACTGAAGTGGATTGGATCGTACAATATTAGCAAGAAGATTTTCTGAAATAAAATAAATTTCAGCCTAACCCTATTTCTTAATCTCGATTAAAGTTTTTAACAACTGCAGTAATTTTTCATCTTAGTTGTCAAATTAAGTTTATTTCACTATCGTCGAATATACATATAAATAGGTAGGTACCTTATTTTAGAAAATTTTCCTCGTTCTTTATACGCTTTCATTGATTCGAATAAAAAAAAACAATACAAACGATTTTTGCGGTTTATTTAACAGAGAGCAGAATTGTACCAGCTTCTAACTGAAAAGGGACTACCTATATCTTTTTTGCTGTGTCTTAACATACTATACATTACATTTTTGAAAAACCTTATCTGTATTTATACTAATAGCACAGATATGGTAGTCAAATGTTGATTTTGCAATAATTACTTATTTAATTGCAATGCTATATACAGGCTGTTACAAATTCGCTTCTCACTACAGGGATCTCGGAAACGGTAAGAGGTACGAAGTAGCTTGCGTCTAAAAAATCAAGGATGACATGATTAGTTTTCGAAATATTTGAAAAAAAAAACGAAATTTTGGGAACCCGTTTTTGTTTAATTTCAGCTTTGTTTGAGGTGATATTGAAAAAGAACAACACTTTCTCGTGGCCACGTTTTATCATCTATCAAATGGCATAATCAATGTTTGTATGTAACGTTTCGTCTCTCCAGGACCATCAACAACTTAATTTTTTTTAAAAACGACCCTAGAAATTTTATTACATTTTTTGCAAGCCTTCATGACCCCAATACTTTATTGCTTCAGCCCGAACCAGATTCAGACGTTTTGTCTCGAAAAATTGATCTTCAGTGTATTCGTTCCAAATTTATCTAAATTTTTTATTTAGATTTCTTTGTTTATTGAATTATCGTACACTGTAGGTGTCGTTAGACCCTGTGAAATCCATCTAGTTTTTTAAACTATTACCAACACGCCTTACAATAACACATTGTGTATTATTAACCATCACTTGGTCATACATCACTCAATAAGTTGTTGCGTCAAAATTAAAACATTATTACAATTTTAATTTTATTACGACAAATTAATTCTTAAAAATGCATATGAACAACAAAAACGCCAACTGAATTCTTTAAAAAATTTCAGTAAATGTTCAAAAACATTTTCGTTTTGGCAAAGGTTGAAAATGAATATCAGCGTAATATTATCGGAATTTATTATACCTGTAATCGCAACTGTGAAAGAGCATGTCAGATGTATTTGTATGAATATTCTGAAAAAAATAGATAGGAATTTGTTTGAATTTTGAGCACTCGAGAAGCCTAGAAATAACTATGGACACGGGAATAAAACTAATATATTTTTATTTTAATGCGCAATAGTTTAAATAACTAGATGGATTTCACAGGGTCTAACGACACTTACAGTGTAGATAAAAATAAACATAGAAATCTTTAAAAAATTAAATAAAATTGGAACGAATACATTGAAGGTGAATTTTTCGAGGCAAAACGTCTGAATCTGGTTGGGGTTGGGGCGTTCCAAATTTGGGGGCCTTGAGGGTTTGCAAAAAATTTTATTAAATTTTTTGGGTTGTTTTTTAAAAAAATTTAGTTTGTTGTTGTTCTTGGGGTTCGGAACCTTTCCTTTTAAAATTTTATTTTTTCTTTGGTTGGGGGCCAAAAGTTGGCCTTTTTTTTTTTTCATTTTCCCTTCAACCATTTTTGAATTGAACCAAAACGGGTTTTCCAGTTTTGTTTTTTTTCAAATATTTTGAAAACTAATCATGTTAGCCTTGATTTTTTAGAGACATAATGTTGGTCCCCTGATTATGCAACTTTGCCCCCATTTAAGCTAGTTTGTATCTGTTACCGTTTTCGAGATCCCTGTAGTTAGAAACGAATTTGTAACAGCCTGTAGGTATAGTGTGTATATCTCCAACTTGTTGAGTCCAATCCTGGTAAAGTACAACATTTAATTTAATAAATCCGTAGTTTCCAGCCAAAGAGTTAACTCCTACTAAATAACTTTAAAATTATACAGCAGCTAACCCTAACGTCAATTATTTACCTTATATCAAGAAAATCGTCGAGTTAATCAAAGTGCAACAACGTATTTCACAAACTTTACGACTGTCATGCACTATCGCACATTAAAAATTAATGTTAACTACCTACCTGCAAACTCCTCAAATAAGTGAGCTTGCTTGCATATACATTGTTTAGAGTTGCATATAAAATATTTTTGCCTAACCAAAAATCTCGTACTGAAAAAAAAATCAAAATAAAAATCGCTCATCTCTATATCACACTTTAGTTATAATAGTTAACGTTTCGAAATTTCAAACTTATGCATTATCAAATTTTAGAAACGTCGTAACAAGTTTTAATTATTTTTTTCACAGGTGGCGAAATACCCAGTAAACAAAAACGATAGAAAATATTTCTTTTATAAATAAGAAATTGTAACGTTATTAAATCATTCTACTAAAATATATTTTTTAATTCAATGAATTTAAACTTACCTCAATAAGCTCATGGTACTGTGGCGCCATCTTTTAGCTATCAGTCGAATTCAGTATTCATTTGAAACATTTCTTTAACTGTAACTGCTTATATATATAAGTTTATATAGTTCTTGTTTATAATTTTTTATAAGCAAAAGTATAATACATTTAAACACTGCAGTTTGTTTGTGTTGTTTGTTTTATTTACCATTATTTATCTTTTATAGTTTTCTATTTTGTAAATACGTAATTCACATTTTGGATAATAGATGAATATTTCCTTGCATCGTCGTGCCATATTTTAGCTATTAGTCCATTTGACATATATTTTTCGTTTTATGTTCTACAAATATGAGTTCCACATTTTGGATAACAAATGAATTACATATACATACATAATACATATACAGGGTCGGAAAGTACCGATGGTCCATCTGCCGTTACGTGGAGCGATAAAGTAAGTCATAGAAATCCGTGCGATAGAAAAAGATGGCTATAATGAAGGCGTCTAATAGTCACCGCCCATTTCGCCCTTCCACAAATAAGAAGTGGATCACATACCCACCTAAACAGGTTTCTATAACATTTGCTGTTTGGTCTCTAGCCACCGAGGCGTTACTGGTGGCCCACCCTGCATACACTTGGGATTTTACCCTCAAAATATATAAGCATGCATGGCTTTAATTTATTGAAGAGCAATAAATAATATTCTTGAATTTTGAATTTGTACACACTCTGGCCAGAGACTTCTGCACCGATTATAAAACTGCAAGATACCCGAGTCGACGTTCTGTTGCTCTTTGTAATGGCTCTACTAATTCTCGGAGACTGCTTTTTGATATGAATTCTAACATCTGGGTTCTCCAGATTTGGGCGTCTCCTGGAGTTTTAGCGGAAACATTTGAAGCGAGTGAAATTTTGGGCGTTCCACAAAGGTCATTGGTGGCGACTCTGCCAACGACATTGGACTCTCCAGATGTTATCTGCTGCGGTTTGTGTCTCTGCAGACTGTTTCGGCTGTTATACCTGTTAGAAACAGGGTTGATAATCTTGAATGGAAACATAGGTGAAAATTTTGGTTTCCACTCGACATCTTCCACTTCGTAGAGATGGTTCACTGGATGCCTTTGAGTAATGGCAATCACTTTTGGTTGGATTTTCGTCGGATAAGGACTCTACGTTAAGTTCAAAAGTTGGGTGAAATCTGAAATGCACTCGAGACTTGGAATCCCACCATACAGGACTACTTTGATGTAAGATGAGATGTGCATATAATGTACAAAATAGAAAATAAAACATAAGTAGTTTTTAAAATTTATTGGGAAAACTTGTCAATAAAGATTTAAGAAAACTGACTCATTTATTCTAAAAGCATTATCAAACGTTTTCACATATAAAAATATAAATAAATAATCTTATTTACAAAACCATGTGACAGAAGGGGGTTTTATGTTAGCTAGGAAGAATTTATTAATTTCAAAATTATATTGATTATTTTTTCTCCGGTATCATGATGGAGCAAATTAAGAAGAGGATCCTTGATTTTTTCTTCTAGAAGGTCGAACAGCTCCTGCCTTATCAATTTCACCATCTCGGCAACCTAAAAAGTAAAAAAACTCAAAAAATATATGTATTTACCAGTCTTGGACCTACCTTGTGTTCTTCAACCTGGAACAGTATCCAGCCCTCTTCTAATGCTACGAAAGTGTTTCCATTGTGGACTGTAACCTCTAGATCAGATCCAGAAAACAACACTAAAGGAATGACGGGAACCATAGTACAATCCCTGAAGAACACCTTGCTGGTTCTTACTTTCTCTTGGTATACCATATAAGGGCTGGGAAAGCTTCTCACTGAATAATTGACAGAGCTTGGATGCATAAACACCTTAAATGATATTAGAGCAAGAAATATATCAATAATCACACAAAATACCAGATACATGTAATCAACTGCAACAAATATTAATTAATATGATTTTAGACTAGGCGGTATCTGTTTTGGTTTGGGTGAATCGTATATCCACGGAGATTTTTGGCTTTTTGGCTTTCAAATATCACTAGAAATTAAAATTTTTCTATTGATATTTGAAAGCCAAAAAGCCAAAAATCTCTGTGGAATTCACCCAAATATGGACTTTTTGAAACAGATACCGTCTGGACTATTTTTTGTACTCACGATTTCTTTAGCGGTGGCAAATTTCAAGTCCTTTGCCTCGTTTTCCTTTGGAACCGCCCCGGCAGCACTCATTACATAAGATTTTGAAGGTGTTAGTATCTTCACGATGTTGGGGTACAACGCCGCGCACAAAATGGAGGACAGAAGGCGTAAATTCTCTCCGTTCTTGTTAAACTATAAACCAAAAACATTGCAACATTTTTCTAACCTATAAACATACTTTTTACCTCTGATCCGGTGATTTCATACACGTTGTCCTGACCCATTCTCCTCCTTCCGCCAAGATTAACCGCTACGAAGCCGATATCGACGAGAAACTCAAGGAATTGATGTTTTATGTCCGCTATTGTGACCAACGTCTTGTGAGACAAGTAATTCTCATTGGCAAAGTTCCTGGCGCCCGCCCCGCTCTTCTTGTTCATTTGCAAGAATTTCTGCGAAATAAAATCGACGTTTAACTTAGCGAAAAGAAAAAATTCATACCCTTTACCTTATATGCTACCAAAACAGTGATTTGATCGCTATAACCGGCAGCAAACGATTGTTTCTTTTTATTAGCCTCGTCTCGCTTTCCGAATGGAGCAACAAAGGGACTTTTGTAGCTCAAACAAGCCGCCATGGTCAAAGCTGCGTCCACACAACCAAAAATCGCACCGTACAGCATTAACTTTCCTAAGGAATTAAATAGAAGAAAAATTACATCGTAGATTTGTACCGAAAATTTTACCTATTCTCACATCAACAGGTAGAGCAGCTAAGTGGTGGCCTAGAGGGGTTAAATTATCGTCTTTATCCAACGCTCCTACGTTTTCCAGTCTCTTTATAGCTGTTGTCACATTTTCTTCTGAAGGGGGTTCAATAAAAGATCCTGGAGGAATAAATAAAGTCTATAAGGCAATCCCAGCAATATAATTTTTTTTTAGTTATTTGTCACCACAAATTTTTTAAGTTTGATCTATATAGTATGTAATTTCTGCACTATTTAGTCATAGAAATAATGTTCCAGTGACCATAAAATGATTTTTAGTTCACCACGCCACATCTTGTCTGTAGCCAAGCATTTTTCTGTGAAACATTTTATTAAAATACTGCATTCCGTCCAGTAATTTTGAATATAAAAGTTCCTAATGTCACAAAACCTTAAAATCAACATATCCTTCAAAGGCTAACATTGACAAACACCACGTCACCAATACCTACTTATAAAAGGTATAAAGATAAATAATCACTTACCTATAACGTTTGCAACCTCCCTGTCCTCGAAATTTGGCAAGACCTTAATATTCAAGATTAACCTCTCCAACGGTATCCTGTTAATTTCCGGAATGGGCTGTGGCAACATGTGATGGTTGAATCTATGACCTGTGTAAAGATGAACGCAAACCCCTGGCATTACCCTTCCAGCACGACCTTTTCTTTGTAGGGCATTTGCCCTGGTCACCCACACAGTCTCGAGACTTTCCATATTACGGTTAGGATCAAAGTGGGTCTCTTTCATCTTGCCTGAATCAATGACAAAGACACAATCGTCGATGGTGACGGAAGTTTCCGCGAGGTTCGTTGACAAGACAATCTTCCGTTGACCAAGTTTTGGTTTCCTGAATATAAAACAAGTAAACACATTTACATTTTTGGTCCTTCGAACTGGATAATAAAGTTAACCTAAGATTTCGATATTACCTAAATATGGCTGACTGTTCTTCATTGGTTAGGGAAGAATGCAAGGGTACCAACACGTACTTTCCGGCTCTTGCTGCAAACACAGGGTGATCATTAAGTTGATCGAACAAAGTGGTAATTTCAGCGATTCCGGGAAGAAAGATAAGAATTGTCCCTTTTCTCGGATATTCATGATCTCCCGACACAATCCAAATCAAAACGGTTTCTATTAACTCATTGTTTATCTTTTCAGTGTCCATCAAGAACAGATTTTTACAAGTCCTTGCACTAAAATCTAAAAAGAAATGTTAACCCAAAGAAAAACTTTCTGTTATAAAACACACCTTGATATCTAGCCATCACTTGAGGAATACTTAAATTTTCATCCCTCACGTTATCTTTGGGCATGGCATTAAGAAAACTAACTTCCTCAGAAGCCATAAGAGCGTCAATATCCGAATCATTCTTTATTTTCCTACAATATTCTGATCCCTCTTCTAATATGTAATTCGTCGTCTCTAAAATGTCCTCTAAAAAATACTGTTGAACAGGAAACGTCCTGCCCGGGATATTGACCACGGGTATTTCTCCGAAATATTGAGCGAACAGAGAGGCATTCAGTGTGGCACTCATAAGGATAACCTTGAGTTCCGGACGAAGAATGAGCAGTTCTTTCAGTATTAACAGAAGAAAATCACTATAAATGAAAATGAAAATTATTATTAGTATTATTATTATTAAATTTGAGAAACTGTTATACTTAGATAGTGTGATCAATTTATACAGGATGATTCAGAACTTATTCGAAAAAAAATGTTGGATGTACAGGGGACTCTTACAAATACAATTTTTTAAAGAAAAAATGAAAAAGCGCAGTTCGAAAATGATTTAAAAATACACTTCTGCACGGCACTGAATATTGATCCACTGTAAATCCTGCGCACAATGCAATCGGCGGCATGACGGCAGTGTGACAAAAACTTTCGCAAGGAAAGAAATAAATAGAATTTTATAGCACCTGTTTTATATCAGCAAATTCAACTGCTTTTACCGTTATTGTTATTATTAATTTATTAAAATTAATATGTGGTTTTAAATAATAAAATAATTTGACATCTCTAATGTTATAACAACTGTTCAAAATTTTATGCACCGACGTGTAGACACATTTAGGTCCGTCTTACTCGGTTTCTACGAACTAACATAAATGTTCTTGCTTCATCATAATACAAAATGTTTTGCTTCACCATAAATTAAAACGATATCCATCAACTCCGAGTTGCTATACACGCAAACCATTTTTGACACTTAACTACTAAAAAACTATTGTAAACACCACAGAAAACAGGTAAAAACTAACGCAACGACGATTGTAAAAGCAGATTTCTGTATTGTAAGTCGCTGAGGCCACGTGGCTCCCCACACGTATTGCAAATGACGCTAGAGATTACAGTTATCCAGCTATGTAATGGTTGAATGTACCACAACTTTAATAATTTTTTCTTGGAAATCATAAGGACTTTACAAAATTTTTTTTTAAGATATTGACTCCATTTTTCATGCCGCATCTATTGCCAAATTTTTTTGGATAAGTTGTGAATCACCCTGTATAAGCCTAGCATTAATAAATTAGTATATTTTTCTTTTCATTTAGTGTTTTTAATTTTTATTGTGTCCATCTTCAAATAAAACCCCTCTATCCAAGTTGTAGTAATGAAAAAACACATACCTGTCATATTAAAATCAAAATCATTAAACAACATTTCAAATTATGAATTAAATTATTTGTCTGCTATACTTTTTCTATTTATTGTATTCTATTTATAAATGCATCTATTTTTAATATTTCAACTTTCATAATTTCTGTTTTTTTTCTTCTCTTTCCATTAATCCTTACCTAGTGGGACATATATTATGATAGTGGTTTTATCTCACGGTGAGGTGGCTACTATTCACTATTTTAATTATATTTTTTATAATTCTTTATGTAGGCTTAATTTAATAATTTCAATATGTTTTTTTCTCAAAACATTGGAATGTATTTTTAAATATTACTTTAATGTTGTACATTCTTATAAAAAATACAAATTCCGGAATAGGTTCATATAATTTTAACTTTATGGATTTCACTGACAGACAACAAATTACTGGGGTTATATGTTATACCATTTCCCGAAAATATTCTGAAAACTATACAAGTTAACAACAATAAATAAAATTTACTAACGTAATACATTTGACATAATTTATGGAGTATAATACTGGACGACAATAAAGAATAAAATTTAGTAAAAAAAAACAACATTTTTTTTTGTAATATTTCATACTTATATGAACAATAAAATTCTTATTAATTTGAATCATATTTCGTATTTGATTCGTATTTTGTATTCGTATTTTCATATTTTTGCAAATACGCAAAAATACATTTGCATTCATCCTTACCAAACCAGCCTTAATTTCTACTTGGAAAGTGTCTAACTTAATCCTTATAAAATAGATCTATATATGTAGTTCAATCCCAATTTTAACTCTGATATTCAAATGGTACTAAAGTACTAACTCTAGTGCCAGTGGATATACACGTTTCAATATATTCAAAATTACTGCAACCCCTAATACATCTACGTGCATTACTGGTTGCGGTTACAATACAATAATGAAAATCAATATTACAATGTATTGCACAATCACCCGGTAGTTGCAACTCACCTTTCCTCGCTGCGTTCATGCACCTCATCCACGATAATATGCGTAACATTGGGCAAGGTCGGCTCTCCCTCTAACCTCCTCAACAAAATCCCTGTGGTGCAAAAAGTTAGTCTAGTACTAGCTGAAATTTTGCTCTCTAATCTAATCTGGTAACCTACTGTACTTCCAATTCTATCCACCCTCTCGTCGGCAACCCTTTCAGCTACACCAATTGCAGAAATCCGTCTTGGTTGCGTACAAACAATTTCTATGTGCTTGTTACCGCTATCATAATTCGATATCCATTCATCTAATATAAACTGTGGAACTTGCGTGCTCTTCCCGCAGCCTGTCTCACCGCTGATAACGACAACTTGAGATCGGTTTATAGTGTTCAAGATATCTTTTTTGAGAGTCCAAGCAGGGAGATTTTTTCGAGATTGCAACATTAATACATATTTCGTGTCCCCCTGCTTAGATGAGAAAGTTTCGACGATCCTTTTGTCTTCCCTCTTCACTTCCTCTATCGTTAAAGCTTTTTTATTATCACGGTTCGTAATACCCTTCTTGTAGTGACTAGGACGTATTTTTCTTACTTCTTTGGCTTTTTCCGCAGCAAAGAGCTTTTGATTGGGTGGTAGAAAGTTGATTTCTTCTTTCAATTGAGCTTTAACTATGTCTTCGGTTTGTAATAGTTCGGTTATCGTGTAAACGCATGGAATTCCATCTTCAGCAAGTGTTCTAGCTTCCTCATATAACCTCTTACAGATGTGTAGATTGGCTAACGGTGGAAGTACGGCATTAGTTTTTAAAAATATCATGGGTGGTTCATATGGATATTTGGTGTTAGGCGGAAAGCGGATTTCTAATTCGAACAAAAAATCATTCAAATGTTGATTGATATCTGGCGGTGGCTTCTCTATTTCATGGGAAAATCTACATTTGTCGCCAAATTTACAATTACCTCTTACGAAATTTCTGCACTTCTCTTTCTTTTTTTGCTGGACCGCCACATTCTTTTTCTGCTTATCTTCCTTATTGTGGAAAATTTTAACTAAATATTCCAGTTTCAATGTAAGAATCCAAACATTTTCTACTTTTTCCTTAAAGGAGTTCTCATAGATAGATTCTAATGAACTTTTTTCATCGACCCTCTGCTCTAATAATTCCTTTTCAGACAAACCATGATCTATTTCCTTCAACTCGATATTTCTATTAAAATATCTGTTATACAAGAGATACAGAGCATCTTCAATATTTCCATTGCAGTATTCAAATGCTTCAATACAATGACCTTTATGAAATCCATAACTATATAATGAAAAAAATTGAAAACAAATACAATATTGCACAATTAATGTAATACCTTTCTAGCCGCATTAATCCGAACTGTTTTATACGTTCTAATTCTTCTGTAGGGCCATCTTTAAATTGAGAAAAATCACAGCCACCCTTAACAACTAAGCTACCTTGCCCCACCCAATATTTCCTTAAAACATTTGACGTTACCTCTTCGTAATCTGAAGCACTTTTCAACTTAAAATCCTACAACAGAAATATAAACATTTTCCTAGGTTTCTGTCCCAGGAAAAAGTTTTCAACTTACTGGTCCATGTATGTATTTCAGTGTCTCTAATATTTGTTCTTGAATAGCATCGTTCAATCTAAGGAACTGTAATTCTTCTTTGACAATGTTTTTTTTAATAGGACTTACATTGCTGTAATAAAATAAGTGAATACGAAATTCTAATATTTAATAAATGCTTTACATACCCTACTTTAACATTGGGAATATCCCTAAGAAAAAAGTCTGCTGTATTAATAGCATTTTCACTGTCCATTTTAAATTTAGTTCAGGATAAGGATATCGCTAATTAAAGTAACAACTTGGGGCAAGGAGAAAGCTGCTAAAAATTAGGTTAGAATTTTATAAAACTGACGTTGACGTAAGAATACTAGTTGTTGGTAATGCAGAAATCTGATAAACTCGTCTTCCTCTTCTTGTTTTGAAATATTAGCAAAAACTATTTATACACAAATACTCAAAATCACGAAATGCCACAGACAGACTGAAATTTTATATCAGTCATATCAGCGCATGCTAAGTGTACCACAAATTTTAAATAACCTTAAAATAATAATTGTCTTCGAATAATTTCATTAATAAACTATTACATAATAAAAAGTAACACCGAATATTTACATTTACTTAAATATATTTATTTGTTTTTTTTTTCTATACTCTTGCTAATCATATAAATAACAACCAATTAAGGCCAACAAATTACATCTGCTTATTTACTAGTTGTAACCTATTAGGAAATAATGTGTAATTTGTAGAAATATAAACTGAAGCATATTTTCTTCTAGAATATAAATATTTGCCCATGCCCACCGCATTAATGGAAGTAAACGTATAATAAAAAAAATATAAAAGAGAATTCGATAAGTTTTGAATTGTTTTAAGAAAACTTGCAAGACATTACTATTCGTTACTAGATACCTACTCTAGGATATAATTGAAAATATGACTACTAAAAAATTAATAATGGACAAAGTGCTAACGTCATATATTGTCAACATCAAATGTGACAATTTATTAACACTTTTAGGAATGCCTAAAGCAATATTTGTCCGTTGATTACCGCATTTAGTCACTGGACATCGTAATCAATGTCACCTTATTTGAACAAATTAATTTTCATTTTAGCGATAATGAAAATAATAAAACAGACTTTGGACGTCCAGGATGCTGGTGATAACTAGTTAATTATAATCAAAGATAAATTAAACTAAATTTAAATATTGCTATCGTTTCAATTTTAATTTGCAGTTTATTGGTTGATAAACGAGAAGATGGAACATAATGGCTACATATTTTGAATACCAAGTTTCTTCTGGTGAATCAAATATCATTGACAAGTCGTATCTAATCTCTTAACTAGGTATATCATTGCTACTGGTAAGTAAACAACGCACTTGTATCCACAGTTCTAGTGATCCCGAAAATAATAATGATGACTATCTGCCACGTAATCTTCTAAAGATCGGCAATGAATAACATTAAACCGTATTTATGGGCTAATCAAATTTTAATATTTTTATTTGTTTTAATGTATCAAGATCTAGTAACTAATTCTTCAATAATATACCTAATTTTCTTAAAATCTTTAGATGTCAAGATAACGATGGTACTTTTTTAGAATATTTAAAGAACATTTATAAGTACATCTTTCAGACGGAACCTGGACATAACTCCTGACATAAATATCGAATTAATAGATAATACCTACTAAAGGAACTCGTAGTGTTGTAATATTGAAGATGTTTTAACAAACTTACATTAGCTTTGTTCCTAGAGCAATCTAAAACAGTTCATTGTTTCGAATCAAATGCAATTGCGTCTGTTGGAAACTGATTATAATTCATTAGAAGCAGAGCTATTAATGATTCGACAATTCAAAACAGTTTTCCCTTTGACCAATAGAGTTAACCGTCACAACTCTCATATTCAAATGATTTACAGATTAAGAAGTCATTTCGCAGGTGTACGATGGTATCGTTCCAAACAATGGTGGTGATACAGCCTTTATCGTGACAAGTCATTTGCGTGGCACCAGTGGCACTTCAGTTCCTGAAAAAATAAAACTTCAATATCGTCCATAGACGATTCGCCATTGTGGTGTAAACAGAATTGAAGGTGAATATTCACGCCTAGATAAAGCGTGAAGATAACAAGAAGTGTGTCAATTTGGTTTCTGATTGTTTATTGGCTGTAATATAACGCAATAATGTTATTGTAGACAGTGAAAGACAAAGTTTATGCTTCCATAGACAATAGGAATAGCGTGTATTGATGTTTTATATTGATATCTGTAGCCTTTAAAGAGGTTAAATAACAAATAAAAGATTACTTGGATTTGTCTACCCTGTATTTGTAACACCTCTGACAATGAGTATTTCTCAAAGCTGTTTTACGTTGACAATTTATTGATCAATTAATTGATGAAGTCGCTTCACCAAGAAATTGGACAAGTGTAATGCACCAAATCTGCTGTCAAATAACTTTATGAATTTATTCATCGAGTTCTTGACGAATTAGAGCATGTTCTAATTTTCGTCAATTTCTTCGTGAAGTTCGGAAGTACCAACCCAACAGATTTTTCCCCTCTGATCTGTATTGTGGTTTTGTTTTTTTGGTATATGTAAATAATTGTGTGGCGTCGTACTAGTTTTGCATTGGTTTTACTGATTTGTTACTTACAAAAACTAATATTTATATAACATGTGTCAGAACGGTACCGCTGTTGTATCACTACAATTATGAGTGGAAAGGTGACATATTTGAAATTAATTTGCTTCTTTGATTCATTGGTAGAACTGATTCATGCGTCAAAACACTTGACAAAGTCTGTAGTAGCGTAAAACCACACTGTTTACCAATAAATTCGTGAATTAATTCATGAAGAACTTCATCAATTTATTCATCAATAAATTGTCAATATAAAACAGCTATCAGCAATTTTGTACAATACCCATCGTTAAACAATGAGCATGAATTGCAATAACCTTTATTTTTTTGGTTGTCCTTGAATTTAATTTGTAGCAAATATTAAATTTATACGAATCTATAAAGTTGTTATGAATTATCTTTTTTTTTAAGCGGCCCTAACAAGCTACAACATTATTAATAGTAGAACAGTTATTAAAAATAGCGCATTTTTGTGGTTTTGTTCTAACCTTAAACCTAGAAAAAAGACCGCTAGGAATTTCATGTCTAAACTTCCGATAATAGCTGCGTGGAGGTCAACAGATAGCCTTACTTCAGTAAGTCTAATGAAGCGTCTAAATTTACTAGAAATGTTTTTTCCGAACAGTTATATTGTTGAAATGTTGATGAAAATTTGGCAACACTGGTGAAATAAGTTGTTTTCCGACATTCTCCTAAATCCAAAGCTAAGCTCAAGAATAATAGAAAAGGGACAAATTTCACAATTATTGTAATGATCGTCCTTCCTTCCTGAAGGTCGTTTGAACAAACGGTTACACTGCGATTTATTTCATTTAATTCTATAAAGCTTCTCTAAAGCGTCTCTTCTATCATGCAGTAGGAACAGTAAATTGAGCAAAATAAATGAGTTTCCCAAAATTAGAGTCGAAGTTTGCAAATAATTCAAAATCATTCAATTTTTTAAGTGAATTTTTTTACATACAGGATATTGTTTCATACATGAGAATTGTTGCAAAGCAAATCAAGTTGTTTATTTTGGAGATAGCATATGTATGCAGTGCTGCTCGAGATTTAGTCACATGACGTTTTCACCGAATTATCTCAAATTAACATTTGCGTCAATATTATGTCTGCTAAATGATCATTTTCATATTCACTTTAGAGCTAATAACAGGTATATTAAATATCTGACTGACTCTTAAAGGTTGCAACACACGACCTCACCCGGTGAATTATTTACACAAGAAAATGAAGTGTGTTTGTCTACACATCACCGTGCTATGCCCGAGCAACGTTACCGAACCATAACAGCGTTCGTTACGTTTACTTTTTGACGGCAAAGATGCGATTTTGACAAGTTTAGATACAAGTTGAAGTACTACGTTTTTGGATATTAGAAATTTTTGTAAGTGTACTCTTACCGATATTTTTGAAGTATAACAAGATAATACACCACTATTTAAATATAATATGAACGTTCAAAGACTTATAGAGGTAAAATTTCTTTTCATTGTCCATGAGGTGAGAAAACAGTATTCGAATCTCTCCTTGTATATGTCTTGTTGTCCACTTTTCCTTTGCTTCCTTTAGCTCTAGCAAATAATATAATTCCTATGTATATATCAATGTGGACTCCCAATATAAATACTTACTGAATCACACCAATAATATCCCAAATAACACAAACCTGACCTAAAATCATCAGCACATCCATAGAACGTAAAAATCAGGATATCCTCCAGATATTCCACCGTATGTTCCAGAGAGATAAGGTTTTGATTATACATATACTGCCCTCATAACAGTCTGAGGCTCTGAGGATGTCTGTATATTATGAGCAGAGAGCGGACAATGTGTGTTTTTAACCCGAAAACGTAACAAGATTAGGTTAAATTCGGGTAGAGAATACACAAATTCAAATATGTATTGTGTGTAATCTATGTAAAATGTAATTATTATTTATAACAAATACACTAATGCAAACAATTAAAGGGTTAAAAGAATTTCCGAAAATTTTCCGTGATATTTGACACAGTATTTAGGTGAAAAATGGTCATATCGGGAATTAAAAGAGCATTTTGATGCTCTAAGATTCTAGTTTTTAGATCTTTCGGTCAAAAATATTTAGGAACTACAGTTATCATCATGCAATTTTTTTTTTCTGAGTACACGGACTTTTTTCAACTAAACCATTGCATGGACCAGATAACTTGTTTATTCAGCTTCAATTTCCTTTTTTTTAAATTTCGATACGACCATTTTTCATCGAAATATCGAACTTTCAATGGAAACTGAAATTTTTTATAACATGATGCGGCAACTTTTCGGAAAAAAATTTTTTTTCATCTTTTACACGAATTTAAAAAAAAAGTGCAATTTATGGTTTTTTAGAAAATTGACCGCTAAATTTGAAATATTCACGAAATGACTAATGTTAAGCATGACTTTTACAGTTCGATGTGCCCAGAAGAACCCACTGAAGTTTCATATCGATCTAGCGAACCGTTTCTTTGTTTCAAACAGTCAAACTTTTGTTAAAAAATTAAAGGGTGACGTTTTTGAGCTTAAACACTTCATAATCATGATTAAAATGGAAAATAAAAATTTTATTGAGGTTTTCTCATATTTTTACCGCAAATAATGTTTAAAATATTTTATAATTTTTTTTGG